AATAAATGAATAAGTAAGAATATAATATATATTTTTATTTATTTATTTATTTATTCATTTATTGATTGATTGATTGAAGTATATATATATGTATAATGCAGAAATATCAATATAGGTATTTACCAAACGACCAGCCTGGTTGTTATGCATATTGACCAGTGTTTTAAGGTCACTTTTTCGTTTATCCTTTACATCCATGAATTCTTTAGATTTTGTGTACCCGAAGTCTATATTGTCGCCACAGCCACCCCATTGCCATTCACCTAAAATAAAACGATTGTAAAGTTAACATTTTATGGATGGGTCAATCATATATGCCCTACTTCATTGTCAGGCAGAAACATGAGAAGATAATACACTATTCATAAAAATAAATCCAATAATACACTATTCATAAAAATAAATCCAATAATCCAAAATCCAATAAATAAACAATTTAATTGGGCTTTACCAAGTATACTAATAGAGGAGATATATAAATTTAGTTAGTGACATCTTCATCTGTCACAAACACTCAACTACACCTGCATTTTAATTACATCAACTTCGTGTATCACTTTATTATATGTAGTATATTTTATTGGACTCATATCGTGATGTACGCTCGAACGACGCAAACGATAGAGTGAATAATTTCAATACAAATTCGATGATCACGTGTATTCACACCGGGTCACACATTTACAACTTATATCGTCGCAAGATTTTCTATCCACGGCGGCTACTGTGTTGCGCAGCAGCCACGCTCACGCAGCAATCATCTTGCCGTGACGCCATTGGCTAGCGACGACTCACTCACCTGGATGGTCGGGTGGGGCGTGTCGTGGCGTTGACGAGTCACAGGTGCACTGCAGAAGCTGGCCCATGCTACACGCCTGCGTGATGGCGTACGTCACTCCCGCAGCCGTCATCGAGTTGACGAACGCCGTCTCGCGGATGTCTGCGAACCGAGAGAAAATTGTTTGTCAAGATGGCGTAATGCGGATAGAATGTCCGACGCAGTACCGCGCGAACAATGACGTCACGATATACAACCGAGGGTGGTTCAGCCTCTGACGCGACCTCTCAGTAATACACGAATTTATTTAATACATTTCTATTATTATTCATTACATCTATATTTCGATCACGAGAACGTATTATACAAATGTTCATCGTTCTAGTAATGCGACGTTACAGTTACGATTAAAATATCTTCTTGTGTGGGCTAGTTCAATGCAGCGTGTTTCTTACATACTATTTTAATAATAATAATAATATAATAATAATAATAATAATAATATTCAATCTGTTAATCTATCTGCGTGGTAAGTCCACAAACGAATCCCTTTAGTGCAATGTTTACTTTCATTCCGACGAGGAAAATTATTCGAAAGGTATAAGGAAGTCATGAGAAACATGACTTTCATAATAAACATTTTTACGCAGGGATGAAATCTTGCATGGAAACCTTATTCCACGAGCAATATAGCTCGTTTTAAAGGTATACTATGTCGGGAACACTCGAATTCTTAGGATGCCTCGTGAGAGGTGTCTGGAAAAACAGCTAATTTTGTTTGCGGTATACGGAAGGAACTTAGTTCGAGAGATAGAATTGAAAGCAGGTGTTAATTCGGCTTAAATGTTTTGTTTCGTGTCAAGATTATGCACCTCCTGGCGGGGGCTAGGTGGCGGGTTGTAGTTTAATAGGCCGTCTGTGTAAACATGCACGTGCTGAGACACGGCCTGCCATCGACGAGGCAATCATTCTCGGAATGTCACTGCTGACGTTGCTGGTGTGCAAATTACGGTTACAGCATTGGTTCCGGTACATGCCGGACGAGCGAATCCCTTCCACAGCACATCCGTGATTACGTATAGCGTCATGAATAATATAAACACGCACACCCTCGCGCACACGTACACAAGCATGCACACATGCATACATGCACGCATGCATGCAGACACTCACGCATACATGTACGCTTGATAACACACATAACGCACATAACATGCTTGCTGTTAACGTGACAAAATATATAAATAAAAAATTAATTAATTAAATTAAACAAATAAATATGTTACATATTACAAATTAAATCGATAGGCGATACTGGTTTTTACTGGGAACGTTACTCCCGCCGGAATATTTCAGCGACAATTTTTGTTTTGTATTTATTATTCGACAAGACTCAGCTATGATACGATCGATCTTCCATGTCAATGCTTTTGCATTACACATGTAGGCAAGAGTCAGTATTGTACATCAGTATTCTTTTTCCCATATACTTTGAACATAATTTACACGTTGTATCCTATTGCATCGGAACATCATAACTTAACAAATAAATAAATGAATAAGTAAGAATATAATATATATTTTTATTTATTTATTTATTTATTCATTTATTGATTGATTGATTGAAGTATATATATATGTATATATAAATTATATATACAGTATAAATAATTTATTTATATAAAATATTAATAATAATTTATTTAAAAAATAATAATCTTTGGAAAGATGATAACGTTTTGATTTGGCATGATTGAATTGCACTATATTGTCTAAATCGTTCTAAAACTGTCTCTTTAAACCTGACGTCAAATTGCTAGCACCATAAACCCCAATATGTGGGAGGTCGTCTGTTGAACAGCCCTATAGATACTATGTTTGCGTCTATTCTCTAAGTGCATACATCTAGTCAGCAGCACCAATCGCCGTGTCTATCCCATCAACGTGTAGTGGAATTCAAGCACCGCAAGGAAAGCCAGCAGTGTCTGGTAAGGCAAGAAGTACTCAAGTGCATCCAATCACCAAGACAGTAACAGCCCTTAACTGCGGCAGTAACAACCAGCGAGTGAGCTATAAATTGACGTGAACAAATGCCACACGGAAACAATTTCGCCGAGCCGCAACGTAATACCGTCGGCTACTCGCACTCGCGCCTATACTAATCTTTGGCCTAGCTTCGTCATGGACTGGCGCATCTTCATTGTCGGAGTATTGCTGCCGTGCCAGACACTCGCGCATGAAATGTGACAATTGCGTGCAATATATCTATTTCGTAGGTCTCCACGGCAGAAAATGTACTGCCCGGCAGTAAATTGTAAACAAGATTGCGATAATTAGGTTCAATCTCGCTTGTCTAGCCCAATAAATGAATGTACTTTCATGCCCACAATGCACGTGCACAGCTCTTGGCACGTTACAGGTTGTTTTTCCGACTTCGCAAAAATCGGCGTGTCTATAAAATATTTCCCGTTTAAAAAGTCCACGGTAAAATCGCATTTCATGGGCAGCAGACACTAAACACATAACAAGGTTCGCAGATACCCGACTGTTTTTAGTTGTACGTACAGTTTCGCCTGCCGTCTGAACCTAATCCACTTGTTACAATTTTAACGCTCGAAGGCACCATAACTTTTCTTTATATTGCTTTTTAACCAACAGCCGATGTTTCCTGCATGTGCACATCATGACGAAACGTGTTTTGGTCACAGAAATATGCGCACTTACCAACGACAGACTCTTGCAGTTAGACGGAGAGGGAGAGTCAATGGCAAGGAGGAATCCTCTAGATACATTCTTGGTTGCAAAACGACAAACACAAGTAGTTCGCTATCGCAGATGTGCGCTACTATATGATATATATATGATATATATATATATATATATATATTTACCAGTGCCGTAAATTCTACTTTTCCGACTATTTCGCAAGAAATTCGGCGAGAGTCTATAAAAGATTTCCGCTCGTTAAAATGCAAGCCTGCCTACCATTGGTCACCAACCTGTTTAACCTGCGCAATATTTCATGTCATACGCAGTAGCTAGTGCCTATCCTATCCAGCCACACATAGGTACGCACAGGGTCGACCTGAGTAAGTGGTACGCCCTGATGAGGCTGCGAAATAGAAGATTCACCTGAGGAAGGGTTGAGGGTATACGACGTTTAGAGTTGACGTACATGTTTCGTCGATACACGCCATCATGCAGGATACTGTACCGCCGATCCTATGACTAAAACAAACCTTACTCCGACTTGTTACAATTTGAACGCCGAAGGCAACCATAACTTTCTTTATATTGCTTTAACCACATTTGAAGGCAGTACCCACATGCCCACATGAACTCCCGCCGGAGGCCGAGTGTCTCGCCGTCAATTCTGCATGTGCCATCCGTGAATCCCCGCCGGCTATGTTTCGGGTTCCCGTACCGAATAAGCTCTACCAGCCACGCCCCTCCGCACATGCGAGATGAGAAATCACTCCTGTACCACAGTACAAACAGTACGTGCTCAAATACTCCATGCATACGGCGTACCGGCATAGCGAAAATGGAAAGCAACTAACCATGTACAACAGTCATACTCATGAAACGAAACGTGTTTTTCGGGGTCACAGAATAATGTCCGACTTTACCAAACGAACAGACTCCCTTGCAAGGCAGTTAGACTGGAGGAGGGAGAGATCCAAATGGCAAGGAGGAATCGCTCTTAATCACCTTGGTTGCAAAACGACAAACACGAAGTAGTTCGCTTATACCAGATGTGCGCTACGTATAAGTGAATATATATAGATAATATATAATATAATATATATATATATATATCATATAATATATATGTGTGTGTTGTGTTGTGTGGTGTGTGTTGTGTGTGTGTGTGTGTGTGTGTGTGTGTGTGTGTGTGTGTGTTGTGTGTGTGTGGTTGTGTGTGTGTGTGGGTGTTGGTGTGTGGTGTGTGTGTGTGTGTTGTGTGTTGTGGTTGTGTGTGTGTGTGTGATGTGTTGAGTGTGTTGGTGTGTGTGTGTGCTGTTGGTGTGTGTGTGTGTGTGTGTGTGGTGTGTGTGTGTGGTGTGTGTTGTGTGTGTGCTGTGTGTGTGTGGGTGTGGTTGTGTGTTTTTATATGTCTGTTCTACATGTCAGAGTGAAGACCCCTTGGCAAAGTACGATAAAGATTAATACACTATTTCATGTTAATAATAAACTTAAAATAATGTTCGTTTTTCTCTGTAGTCACAGTCTTTTTTAATTGTACAATGATTTTTAATTTAGCCATCAGTGTTTCTATTAAAAGTAGCACGGCTATTCGTCAATACGATATAATGACATAAAATGTACTCGTACTTACTAGTGATGATATATCTTTTGTACTACGCATTAACTCTGGTCATCATTGCATGCTGCAATTTAAACACTATCACAACTCTAAATTTAGATTGAAATTTTATTTGAACTAAAATTTAATTTAATTTAATAATGATCCGGCATTCTGGTGACAACAACACGTGATTATAGTTAACTTGCGTGTGGCATGATGTGAGAGGCATTACTTTGTGATCGCAAGGGTGTCCCTAATTACAGACTCATTTTTCGAACTCATCGATCTGATTTTTTTTTAAACTCCAACCATAGAAATATCCCATTTTTTATCTATATTTATGGACTAAACTGGAGTAAAAAATTTGACGTCTGTACCATTTGTCATACTCACTTATTAGAGCCCTTTAAATTGCATGAGCTCAGATACTGCTATGTTCATGTGATTTGCAAATTACGTGCGTGTTTGCCGGCATGTTTGTATGTGGTATAGGGGGTCCTTCCTTCCATTCGCTCGGGCTTCTGTCTGTCTGTCTGTCTGTCTGTTCGTTAGTCCGTTCGTTCATTTGTTTGTCTGACACCTATCTGTAAGCCTATAGTCCTATCAATGGCCCATTGCTGCTGAGATTCGGTGGGTGTTGGTGTACCGTGGCCTGCTGTGTGGTGTGTGGTGTGTCGTGCACTGGTGTGTGGTGTGTGATTCCTCGTGCTGGTGTGTGTGTGTGTGTCTGTGCTGTGTGTGTGTGTGGGTTGTGTGTGTGTGTGTGTGTGTTGTGTGTGTGTGTGTTCTGTGTGTGTTGTGTGTGGATGTGTTTTTGTATGTGTGTGCTGTGTGGTGGTGAGTGTGTGTGTGTTG